GGACTCGTATTTCCTTGGTTGTATTTATCATTTGTTAGCCTAGGGCTACTCAAAGGCTTAATGAGCTACACGCTAAAAATAAACTTTGAGAACACTAAAGTAGTACTAGTAAAACAAAAGCACAGCCGCCAACAGCCTATATTAAGTACTTAGACTTCATCTGCTTGGCTTCATCAACGTATGTTTCGCAGTGGTAATGCTGCCGACTTGCAATGTAGGCCTACGACAATAGACTCGATCTTTTAAGTAAGCGTTGTGGTTATTTTTGTTCGGAGTCTAGGCCTGTATAAAACTAGGTTTGAGATTAGTGGGAAGAAAATAGGACTCTCTCTGAGATCAACTGATATTGGTACACCTATTACGACTTCTGGAACGAATGAAGTTTTGTTGATCTATTAATTCCTCGGAGTTACTACCCAGCATAGTAAAAATTAGACAAAACTAAAAATAAGAACAAGAGTAACAAGGGATCTCAAAGTACAGTAAGTTTTAAACTTTCAAGGCTTCTCATTACGATGATAAATCCGCAGAAGCATGTGATATAGCGAAGCATTCCTAGAGCTCCGTACGCTGTCGCACAAGCGGAACATACGACACTCCCATGAGCTCACGCCTCGTGAACGTCTCCTTATCCGTACGTTGAATCTCCATCAGCACTTGATTCGCACCTTGCTCACCCACAGGTACCACCAGTCTCCCTCCCTCCGCCAGCTGCTCCATCAGTGCTCGTGGAGGCTCAACCGCAGCAGCCCCAACATGAATAAAGTGAAACGGGGCTTCATTCGGCAGCCCTGTCCATCCATCGGCACCTGCAAGTACCAAACATTAACTCCTTTATCTCCTCCCAAAATTCAGTTAACCCCAACGTACGCTCAACCGAGACTACGCCTCGGCGCACCAGGTCCCCGTCAGCTCGTTCAATGTTCCTTTTTGCCAGTTGTGCCAGTTGTGGGATGCGCTCAATCCCGAAAACTCTGCCTCCTTCTTGATCCACGAGGTGGCCTAGACAAGCTGTCAGATATCCCGATCCAGCGCCGACGTCCAGCACACGAGGATGCTCGATGCTGTGCAAGGCTACATCCGCCAACTCCAGTGCGTACGCGTGCATATGCGGCGCTGATATTGTCTGCTCGTATCCAAGTCTCTGAGGTGCGTCCTGATAGGCTTGTGCGGGTGATACTGAACGAGTTTCTGGGTCGCCACTCTCACTCGGTGAAGTCACGTACTGTGCACGATCTGTGGCTTTCATGGCGCGGATCACGCGCTGGGACTGCACGATCCCGGCGCGCGCCAAGTTGTCCACCAGTCCGTCATTGGATAGAGCGCTGCAGCGCCACGCCATGGCCAGCAGCAGCGTCAGAAGCGACGAGAAGGTCGTCCTCTTTACTGTTCTTCTCGTTATCAGATTTAACAGTCAACTTGAGCTGTAGGTATCTAGGTTGAGTATAGGTTAACCTACATTCGGGCTCAAGATGATTGGCTGATAGCATGGTAATGGACAAGAACTTTCGACGGGGTCTTGAGCAGTAGACACAGCCATGGGGAAGAACAAGCAGCTCAAGCGCCAGCAGCGTAATGCTTTATCGTCGTCATCTCCATCTTCTTCTGATGCTACCACCGAAAATTCGAGGTCAAACAAGAAGCAGAAGACCCAAAAATCGAACGAGACCGAAGTGGAGATTGATACTCTGAGCTTTGACGACGCGTTTTCGGCCGGTTTGGCCTTTGAGCAGCTGGAATCGTACGACGGCGCGTTGGCATCTTTCCAACAAGCAGTTAAATGCCAGCCGAGTCACTTGGGGGCGCTAACGCACCTTGCAGACGTGTATTCTGCTGCTGGACAACCAGACGAAGCTCTCAAGTGTTACACTAAAGCTAGCGAGCTGGAGGACGGAAAGACAGACGCGTCGGTTTGGTTCCGATTGGGTTTAGCTCATGCAGCATTGGATAAGCAACTTTGCGCGACAAATGCGTACACAAAGTCAATGAAAATCAATGCTGAGGCTCTGGAATCCACTGAGGACGAAGAGGACATCGTGGAGCTCAAAAAAGCGTACGGCGTCACACTGGCAGCACTTGCTGAAGCGTTCGGTGAGCTTGGAGATCTGGACTCTGCAGTCAAGGTGTTTGAAGATGGTGCTGTCAAGTTCCCGGACAATGCGAACATGCATTACAATCTGGCAAACATGCGCATGGCGAGAAGTGGAAGCACTGGAGATAACGCTTTCGATAAGCTGGTGGTTCAGAGCTTGGAGCAAGCGATTAAGCTCAGCCCAGATACACGCGACTTCGTTGAAGATCTGGCTGGATACTTGGAACAGCATGACCAACAACCGGATAGAGTGCGTGAACTGAAGGCGAAGACTGTAGAACTGCAGAAATCCAAAGATGAAGAACAAAAGGACGAGGAAAGCAGTGAAGAGGAGAGCGATGAAGAAGATGAATAAATGTTGGTTGCAGAATAGATTAAAAAGCAGTACGAAGCGACCCCATGTTCACCTTTTGTCAGGTATTCTCTCGTCATTATCCCAAGCTTCGTACTTGAGACGACGTAGCGTCCAGCCACGCTGAGCAGTAAGCACGTCCAGCACTGGCTTCTTGCGTTTGAATGCGCTTAACCAGTCTGCCGCCAGCGCGCTCACCGCATCTGCCGAGTTGTTTAGTTGTGTAACTCGAGCTTTGGCCTCACGTCGCAATTCCTTGAAACTCTTCGTTTTGTACAATTGCGTCCAGCGGTTGGCAATCAGCTTCAGTTCCAGGTCCTGCGTTAATACCCGTGCAAGTTTTAAGTCCATGTTAGACTCCAGCATCAAATCCTTAGCAGAGTTGTAATCTTCATCAGCGCCGTCAAAGAGCGAGAGTAAACTACGCAGATCCCCACGAAGCACGTGGGCCTCAATTGCCTCACGTGATTCTAGCGGTGCAAATTTGACAGCGATATCACATGCGCGTAGTGCGTGTTGTGTAGCTGTCACGTCGTGTTCAGACTTGACTACACGCCGAGAGAGTGACGAGCATAAGTACAAACCAGTCCGCACGTGCTCTGGGACCTGCTGCTGCGTAAATGGAGCTAATACATCGACGACATGTTCGCTGCTTGGCGTATCTACAAGTCTGTGGTCTTCGCCACTGCCAACGTTGTCGTCAGCAGTCCACGGTCGCCATGTTACCATTGAAAACGCCCATGATGAAGCCGAATACACCAGTGCTAGTTGCACCAGATTCACGATCACCAAGCCTGCTAGTAAGTATTTGTACGCTTGATATCTTGGCTTTTTCTTCTTCAACTTCCTCCTTGTCTCCGGGTGCGTTGGTGTGTCAATGCCACAGCCGAATCTCTTACGGAAGGCGGCATCGGCCTGTTTGTAGTGCTTCTCCCATTTGTATTTATCCTCGCTAGACTCCCACCACCTCGAGTCATCATCAGGATCCCCTTCCTCTTCACTCTCAGATGTCTCCTGCTTTTCTTCTTGGTGAGAATCAAGTAGCTCTTCAGCGCTGGAATGTTCTTCACTCGTTTCGTTCTCTTCATCCTCCGACGGTACGTACTCGCTTTCTTCTCCGTCCTCTGATTCCGTGAACGTCATGCAACGGAATGCAGTCCGAATTCTTCGCTTTGGTGGCGATGGGGGCTCTTTTAGAGCTTCGTCGGCCTGCTCTGTTTCATTTGACATCGATGTTCTTGACTCAAATTGCTGGTATTTATCTTTAATCAGCTGCTGTCGCTTAAGATCTAGCGACGTGGTCAACAGGGAGGGAGAGTTGCGACGCCAGGCGTCCCCTCTGATGGGTCGGTAGTGCAGCCTACTGCCGCTGGTAGAGCTGGTAGTGGCGGCTGGGATTGACAGCATGCGTCCGTTGTCGATACGTTTCTCCGATTGACTTGCTTCCACATACGACACGACTACCGTTTTTAACCAATCCAAGCAGGGGACAGTTCTATTTATGGCCAATAATAAGAAAGTAAAATGTTACCAGCGAGCCGACGGCTCATTTCACAATTTCTTCGAAAAGCGGAATTTGGTGCGAGTGGCGGTCGAGAGCGCAGCGATGACCCGTGGCAACCAGCGAGACGTGGATCGTGCGGTGAGTACAGCAAGACAGATGCGGATTTTAGCTGCATTTTGATGCATTGCATGCTTGCTGGGACCGCGAACTGATGAAGTTTTGGTCGGTTTCGATTTTTGCGATGCTGCGTACAGCGTGCCCAAGCGCGTCAGGCCAAGCACGCCAAGAATGCAAGCCAGGGAAACCCGCTTGCCAAGCGCGAGGCTGATGCCAAGGCGCTACAGGAGAAGATCGCGCGTAAGGCCGCCATGAAGGCTGAGGGCGGTGACGCTAACGCCAACAACGGCAAGGGAGGCAAGAACGGCAAACAGCAGAAGAAGAAATAGAGATTCGTCCTATTTGGGTAGAATCCGTGGGCCGTGACGGTCGTATTAGACGAATTTTCTGCTGGCTTTAGATCGCGGAATGGCTGGCACACGTGCTGTACCGTTGGTCTGTGACCAGTGCAAGACGATGATAAAGTTTATAGGCAGCAGAGCATGGAGAATGAAGCATATTTTTACTCCAACATGGCTCGAAAGTCCGCAAGATTGATGCGGCCGTCCTGGTCGGCATCTGCGCACGAGATGAGTATGTCCAGGTCTTCGTCTGTGAGTGCACCGTAGCCTAGTCGCTCGAACACATAGCGCAGCATTTCGCGCGAGATGAAGCCCGTTTCTTCCGGGTCGTAGGCCTTGAACGCTTCTGCTACAGGGTCGAAGTTCTTTACTTCGTTCGGTAGTAGCAGAGCGTGTAGATATTCTTCCGTGAGCTCGCTCTCTTCGCTGAGTAGTAGCCGTACGTCCTTGAGACTCATGTTGTCGTAGAAGATCCCCAGCCTTGAGCGTAGGTTATCTAGCGTCACGCGGCCTTTCTTCTCAACGTCCAGGAACTGGAATGCCATGTGAATCTGCTCCGGTGTCACTAATACCCCACCAAACTCCTGCGTAGCAGAACAATCATCGGATCAGAAACAAGCTTTTCAATGTTTAACATGACAGACGCACATTTTGAGGCACTTCCGAAGCCATCGTGGCCATGTGCGAGCCTCGTCGTGATGAACTCCCGGTCATGCTCGTCTTCCGAGCTGAAACCGGCGGCGATGATCCTGTCGGCATGTTGTGTTTGGCTAGTAGATTACAAAGAGCAACGCAAGACAGATAATGATGGAGAAATAGCAATACGGAATTATAACGACTCTATTTATACAGCAACTATAATACATGTACTCATTTCATTCAGTTTGAAAAATATCTTAAATCACATTTTGATCACTGCAAGGACATCAACCGACTTTGTTTGTATTTTGACCAATGAACATGAGGAATTGCGTTACCGGCTCATTCGACCAAATTCTACCTAACAATGGACCCTGCAGCTTATGATGAGGACGCGTACCGCGCCGAGCTGCTGCACAAAATGCGTGAAAGCGAGACGATCGTGTACCAAGCAGTCTTTGCGCCGGAGGAGGTCGCAGGTGGGCAGACTGTGCTGGTTGCTGCTACGAGCTCGGGGCTGCTTCACATCTACCAACTCGATCAAGTCATGAAACCAGCATATTGGGACCAAGTAGGTCGTGGCGAGTACGTTCGTTGCAAATACCTCATCAAGAAGATTATTTGAGTGCAGTCTGTACTCATTTCCCTTTTTTGGCTTCAGGGCGACAGCATTCCCAGGGCCAAATCTATCGTTCCAAGCGCATCCGACCCAGATTTACTCGCTTCGTTTTGCTGGTGACGAGACGAACCCGCTGTTAATAAGGTGAATGTCTATCATTTGAGTGCAGCTCATGTCAATTTCTCAAAGATATTTTTGTGCGATGATAGTGGAGGAGATCAGGACTTTCGAGTGTGGAAGTGGAAGGATGTTCTTGCAGCTGTGGAAGATCCCGCAACAGCCAAGAAGCTGAAACCTGTTCATATCGACCACTTAAAGCGCAGGACGTTGGGCTTCAGAGGAGCTCTTCTGCCAGCTTCCGAGGTCAATGATATCGCTGTGAGCAAGACTAATGGGCACTTGTTCCTGGCCGGAGGGGACAGCATGGCACACGAGTGGGATGTGACCACGCAGCAGTTCACTCGTCAGTTTGAGGGTCACGAGGATTATCTGCATGCGGTGCGTCATCTACAGCACTCACAGGAACTCATAACAGGCTCCGAGGACGGCACATTGGGCATTTGGGATGTGCGTCAACACAAAAAGGTGGAATTTCTACGTCCTCAACCAGCCACCCAGTCGAACTCTTCGTCCGTGTCTCTGTGGGTTGGTGCTGTAGCACATGATGAATCCGAGATGTGGCTGGCTTGTGGAGGTGGCAGTAAACGGCCTTCCAGAGGCCGATCTCAAGCTGAAACAACCGGTGGCTTTCTCGGTATGTGGCATCTTCCCTCACGTGTACCTGTGCACTACACCAAGACAACGAGCGATGTCCACGACGTCGTATTCCACCACATGGAGCTGCTCAGTGTTGGCAATGACGCCGGTCTGAAGAAGTGGAACCGCAGCTCTGGGCAACTCCTTGCTGCAGCTCGATCGACCTTACGGTCCTGTCATTTCTGTGTTGTCGATAACGCTACGGACGTGATTGCTGTGGGCGGTTTGGCTCCTTCTATCGACATCTACACGATGCCCGGTGTCGTTAGCTTTTCTCTGGTAGTCGACGATGAGTCTAGTCAATAAATTGAGACTGAAGACACTGTGTATCTAAGCTCAATTTTGCTCTATTTCACGGCATTTTTGGTCACAAGTCGTATTTTTTGATGACACGCTTCATCAATTCGTTGGAAGTGAACATGATGGCAATAGATGGCACCACTTTGATGAAGTTCGGGGCCAGACCTTTGTACAGGCCACGAACTCCCTCCTCTCGGACGATCGTGCGGAGACCGCCAAGTGTACTCGTGTACTCGGTCGCACCTCCACGCATAGCGCTCAACTGGAAGCGACGACGGAGGATGTCCATCGGGTAGGCCGCTGTCTGGCCACACGCACCTGCAAGTGCTCCACAAGCCAGGAGATACATGGTATCAGGCTCTCCGTTCTCGTTTCGTGGCACTGTAGTACGAAGCGTCTCAAACACAGTGAAATTCAGGCCAACGTAGGGCGCAATACCCCAAATTGTGGGTAGTACACCTCGATAGACGCCACGCAAACCCTCGGTTCGTACCACAGTGGATAGCACATTGAAAATACCGGTATGAGCGGTGTTGGCCAGTCCTCCCTGCACTGTCAGACGCGCACGAGCCGCGTCCAATGGGTACGTGATACAAACCGACACAACACCAGCGATAGCACCGCCAAAGAGCTTCTGTAGCGGACTAAGCGTCTCAGCACCTTCGGAGATGAGGAGTGGTTTGAGCTTTTCAAAAGCAGCGAACTGGATGGCTACATACGGGAACACGCGTACACAGTTGGCGCCATTTCCCTTGAAGTAGCCTCGCAAGCCTTCCTCTGCGTGGATCTGACGTAGAGACTGCCCGACACTGCGGTACTTGATTTGGACAGCGGCTTCTCCTCCATCCTTCTTAATGTAGTCCTGCACCTGGAACAGGATTTTCAGACGCTCTAACGGAGCCACAGAAGTGCGAGATGCGCAACCAGCAACTACAGAGCAACGAAATGTGTTTAGAAACCTTTGATGTAGCGTAAGAAGGCCTACTTGTCGACGTACTGCCGCCGCAGACGAGGTTCTGCGCATCCTTCTTGTCCATTGCGTGCTGCCACGGGGCGATTGGCGAGTGATGGTGATGAGAACGAAGCTCGCAACGGGTAGACGAGATCGCCATATCGCATCGAGTCTGGGAGGTCTAAACTATCCGTCTTACAATCTCCATGTCTTCACACGTCGCAGGTTTGGCAGAGTGATAATCATATTGAGTTTGGAGTTTCAAGTGAACATAAGTATGCGAACTTCAGCTTGTGTTTTTCGGTAGAGTAGCCCATCGGAGCAACAACGTTAACATGGTGAAGTCCATCCATTCAATCATATGCAGCCTCCTTCCCTCATACTAGTACTTACGTGATCTAGATCTTGCTCTTCAACTGCGAGATGAGGAGACCAGCAGCAAACGCGATGACCACTGTGCCAATAGAGTACACTTGGCACTTGGGAGGCACGGGGCAGCCGTGGTAGACCGACGCATAGCCGCATGTTGGATGCACTGGGATGATCGATTGCAGTTTCTTCTTGAGCTCCTTGACTGCCTTTCCAGGCTGCGCCACCTTGTGGCCGCACTCGATGAAGGCGCCCTCAATGGCGTCCACAGTCTTCAGGATGTGGTCCAGACGACGTGTGCTGGGCCCCATGTGGCCAATACGGAAGTATTCCGTCTTGATGGCCTTGTGGAGACCGCCAGCAAGCGACACACCACGCTTCACGACCTTCGGAAGGAAGTCAGCAGCCCCCACACCAGCCGGATAACGCACACACGTCAACGTGTTGGCGCCACAGTCATCTGCAGTCACCAATGAGCAGCCCAGTGTCTTCATCGCTTCTTTAACAGCATCTCCGATGAGTTTGTGCTCCTTGAATCGCTGCTCCATGCCTCCATTCTCGAGCAGAATGTCCAGCGCCTCGTTAAGTGCGAATAAGTGGTTCACCGACGGAGTAGCGAAGTAACTGGGCTGACGAGCCTCGTAGTTCTTCATAATCGGCAGCCAGTTACGCCAGTCCACGTAATATTTGACCGTCGACGTGTTCTTCTCAAAGAGCTGTAGTGCACGTGGACGGATGACCATCAGGCTTAGTCCAGCAGGAACACCGAAGCACTTCTGAGAGCCCGTGAGCACCACATCCAGGTCCCACTGCTTCATGCGAGTCTCCTCGCCACCGGTGGCACACACACCGTCCACGACAATGACAGCTTCGGGCTGGATACGGCGAATAGTAGCCGCAAACTCCTTCAAATGAGCACGGACACCCGTAGATGTATCCACGTGCGTGATCGTCACCAGTTTGAAACTTTTGCCGCTTTTGAGAGCGTTCTCCAGCTCTGCAACTGAAGGCTGCGAGCCAATCTGCACTCAATTAAAACAGTTAGCACGTGTATCAATAGAGATACCGCTTGATCTCTTTACCTTGCCAAGGATGTGCGTCGTCTTGGCTCCGTAGCGCTCGAGACAATCCGCCAGGTTGTCACCGAAGTATCCTGTTACATACCGGTTAGATATCGATATTTATATCACTCTAATGCAGCAGCAGCAGTACCGTTGTTGATGATGAGCACGTCGTCGCCCTTGTTGACGAGGTTGGCGCCCACCATGTCCCATCCGAGCGTACCGGAGCCTGCCACGATGAGCGGCTGGCCATCCGGAGCCAGGAACACCTTGCGCATCTTCTCGAGACACTGGCCGAAGACGTCGATCACCGTCTTGTCCACGTGCGAGATGCCCTCCATGGCGAACTGCTTCAGCACACGAGGCTCGAACTCGATGGGGCCAGGGTTCATGCACAGCACCTTCTTGGTCATGCTGGTGTCGATGCACTAAGCGGGTTATTGAGAGAGCTATAGAAGGAGGGGGTGAGGGTGAGGGGCCTACGTTTGTAGAGTAAATAGAGCGTCGCTTGCGTTCTACACCGTCGATCTGCGAGTGATGGATCGTTTGCATGTTGGAGCAGAAGCTTCTCTCTTTGTGACCGTACGGAATATAGTTTTCGCAGTTTATATTATTTCACAGGTTAATTATTCGTTTTTGTCTAGATACACCGATCATTTCGTAAGGGGTATAACAGTTCAGATATGGAGTTTTTTTTTTTTTGACGTGCACCGACGGAACACGATTCAGAATTGAATTGCGTCGAAAAGATACGCAAAGTTGAAGTGAGCTCATGTACGTAAGCAGATCGTTTACTATTTTTCGTCGCTACTTTTGGCGGGTGTCGGTGCAACTTAGCGCTCAAGTAAGACAGTGGACGCCTAGCTCGGTAAGTTGTCCTAGTTCGTACCTGTATGAAAATGACACTCAAGGGCAGCCTACCTGTTTGTTTTGCGAGGTTCGTCGGTGTCTATCGATGTTTTGGCGAAGCTTTTTTCGTGATTAATCGTCATGAGCGAATCAGGGTGCGGTGGTGACAGAAATGCATTGAGTTGGCTGCGTGTAGCAGTATTGAAGCTGAGAATGTGCACAAGGAGCCGCCACTCATTTATATGCGTTGAAAGCGTAACTCAGGAACTACAGCGTTGAGATTTTGGTAGCCGAAAGCTGCACAAGCCAAATAAACACGACTTATATTGTATTACCGTTTGGAGACATAGAGGCATGAAAATGCAACTCGCACAGCAACAATGTCTTGCCTCTAAAGAATGTAAAGCGCTTCCCTAAAAAGAATCTGTTTCGCTAGTCGCTCGAATACTATTTTTCGTACTTAACCGCATTTATCCTAATTTCTCCATTCTGAACACGTCACTTCGCCAAAACTCCTTGCCAAGAATGAATGTTCTTCGTCTGGCCTTCTGGCGGAAGCCTCTGCATCTAGAGACGTCCTCTCACTCCGTGCAGGAATCCGAAAATGCACCGGAGATGGAGCGTACGCTCGGGCTCTTCGACCTCATCATGATCGGCATCGGAGGCACCGTCGGCTCCGGCGTCTTCGCCACTGCGGGGCTCATCGCCAGCAGTTACGCGGGTCCAGCCGCCACTTTATCCTGGTTATTAGCCGGTATCGGCTGCCTATTGAGCGGCTTGAGCTTCATGGAGCTCGCGTGTCTGATCCCCAGCGCTGGCAGCACCTACGCGTACGCTTACCACGCTCTAGGAGAGCTCCCAGCACTTGTCGCTGGATTCTTATTAACACTCGAGTACGGCGTCTCCAGTGCCGGTGGAGCTCGCAGTTGGAGCGACAAATTAACTCAGTGGATGGACTCCCAATTAGGAGTGCAAGGTCCCGACTGGATGAAGCCCAAAGACTCCGTTGTCGACCTGTATGCGGGGTTGTTAATGGCCGGTAGCACTGCTATCGTCCTTTGTGGCATGCAGGCCGGGAAACTGGTGGTCAATGTGGTGACTATGACGAAGATCACGGTCGTCACGTTCATTATCGTATTTGGATTGGCGAATTTTGATCTCGACAAAATTTCTCCTTTTGTACCTGATCAAAGTGTCGTCGAAGTGAACGGCAAAGAAACTGTAGCGTTCGGGTGGCCTGGAGTGCTACTAGGAGCGAGTGCGAGTTTCTATGGCTACATTGGATACGACGAGGTGTGTTGTCTTGCTGGAGAGGCTAAAGATCCCGCGAGGAACATCCCTCGAGCCGTTGTAGGTACGATCATTGGAGCAGCGACGTTGAGTATCTTAGCGACTTTTGCTCTTGTGGGGATGCAGAAGTACACGGAGATTGACGCAGAGGAGTCTTATGGCAATGCATTCACCAGTGTCGGGATGGATTGGGCAGCGTCTTTTGTAGCTACGGGGGAGGTTCTTACCATGCCGATCACGTCGTTTATTGGGTTTATGGCCCAACCACGCGTGCAGTACGCGATGGCGAAGGATGGATTGCTACCAGCTGCATTCGCTGAGGTGGATTCTAAAGGGAATCTCTTCCGTGGAACGCTACTATGCGGTATTGGCGTCACCTTACTCGCAATTTGTGTGCCTTTCCATGTGCTTTGGAACTTTATTTCACTCGGTATCCTGGTCGCGTTCAACCTTACAAACAGTTCACTACTGTTGGTTCGTGTTTCTAGCTCCAAGACAGAGGGAAGTGAAGCAGAAGGAGCATCGAAACAATCGCAGGGGGCTATGATTGCTGGGTATCTCGTGTCTTCTTTCATTGCTGCCTTCCACTGGCAAAAAGGTGTGGTCGCGAGTGTGCCGCTGTCCGCGACGGATTTGTCAATGTTCGACAGCTACATGAGCACGTTGGGACCGTTCGTTGCTGCTCTCTTCACAGTGATCGCCATTGCGCTCATGTTTGCTTTGAGTGACGCTGAAAAGAAGCAGATTGTCGCCTCGGCTACAGCAAAGGCGAAGAATAAAGCACAAAACGGCGCTGTTGAGATCATCCTGTCATCAAAGAAGCAGGAGGACTCTTGTAAAGCAGGCTGTCGCCATCGAAGCCGCTCCCAAGAAGACGATGAAAGTGGCATTAAAGAAGGTGATACGCTGGAAGCTAAAGAAGACTCTCGTCTTGAAAAGGGAAGTACGCTGTCCAATGGTGCTACGGTGGATAGCAGTGAGAGTGACGAAGACAAGATTGAATCGTCCATCAGCAGCCACGAAGACGAGACCGAAGACCAAGTGTCTACTTTCCGAGCACCATTTGTGCCGTTTGCCCCGTGCGTTGCGATCTTCTTCAACTGGTTCCTGTTCGCCCAAATGGACGGCTTGAGTGTGCTGCTTATCCTGGTGTGGCTGATGCTAGCTGTGGTCGTCTACTTCAGCTACAGTCGCTTTCACAGCCTCGCCTTCCAGCAGACGCAATACCGCCAGCTCGCACAGCACTAAAAGGTCGAAGGTAACACAAGAACAGACAAGCATCAAGTCAAGTGTATCCATAAGCGAAAATACCTCCGTCCTCTTAAGGTTGGGCAAGTTAAAGTCCACCTGTTGAGCTGCTGTTGCCGGGCCACATGAAGCGTGTTGCGTTCCTGGAGCGTACGGAAGCAGTCCTGTGTGAGGTCTTCGTAGTCGACCTCTCTGGACGTGGAGTCAATGTATTCCTTCAAGTGGAAAATATTCTGCTCGTGGTGACGCAGCTTCTGCTCCAGTGCATCCAAGTCTCTTGTTGAGCTAATGGCATAATTTATTGTACGTTCAAACCTACACAGCTAGAAAAAACTCAAAGGCCTCTACCTTTCATCAAGTTTCTTGCTGTTTAAACATTTCGACAACTTTATTAAAGTTGTCGAATCACTGAAAGATCCTTTTCGAAAGGTCTTCCTCAAATAGTTTCAATTCTAACGGAGAGTTTTATTATATATAACGGTTAATCGACGAGATGTCGAGCTTGTCGACAAGTGTTCACCTTCTGTGCTTGAGCTGTCCTTGCTTCACCTTGATACAAACAAAAGGGTGTACATACTTGGCATCGTACGAGTCCACGCAGGTTAGACGCAAGCCAGCTTGGTATCACAACTGCTGAGGCAAATGGAGAAGGCTTGGAACGGAGACAGCGGCCACTGGAAATCCATCGTGAACATATCGTCAGCCACACGACCGAACTGCAGGATATTACCCATGGACGGGTCTTCACTGCTGATCAACTGGAAGTTCTTGACAGACGCCATAGACACACGACCGCCAAAGTCCAGGCAGTAGGCGCCCAGATCCTCACGGAAGACAGGCTCGCGGTTCGAGAAGCGCATCAGATCCTTCATGTCGCCCGTGGAGAGACGAGTAACGAGTCGGTCCTGGCGACTCATTGGTCGTACAATTTTAGAGGATCCGCCTTCCTCGTCGACATCAGGGATCACCACGCGCATCTTCCGCGGCCCCACACTGGTCCTGTTCGGCTCGTACGTGACGCATCCGAGTTCTTCCCGAATCTGCAGCACATTCTGTACGACCACGTCATCTGAACTCACAGCATCTTGTATCTTTGCCAGTTTCTGGGGGTCTCGTCCGTTGTCGTACAATGTAAAACACGTGCCCAGGAAGTTGGAACCCATGCGTCCAATCCGCTTTGCGTCCGTACATTCTTTGTCCGTACAAATTGTGTAGTTGGCGGTCATGTTCGAACGCACCTGGCGTCTAGCAGCCAACAAGAATTTATCTTCTTCTTGAGTGCCAATCTGGCCCTGCAGGTACAGCTCATAGCCGTACTGCTTGAACATACCGCGATACACTTGCTTAACGTAGCAACGGATGATGCCAGCGTCCAGAGGCACGGGCTGCAGAGCCATCTTAGTCATATCTTGTAGCTCCAGTTTCTGCATTGGCTGTAGCACCAGCGGGTCGCACGCACCGCGACACAACGGGCAGCTACCGGACTGCCCCAGCCAGGCCATAATGCAGCGATAATGCACGAATGCACCGGTACATTGACCGGTACAGGGCAGAGGATACGCCTTACGTCTTGCTGAGAACTCGTCCATGCAGATTAGACAGCCTTCACTGTCGTCAGGGGCCTCAGCGCTCTTGTCTTCCAGCTCCTTAGTAGACGGGAGTTTCTCCGAGTGTACTTTGATCTGGCCTCGTCCAGAGGAGGCAAACCCCTCGTCCGATATTCTGTCATGTGGACGCAGTGTGTCGACCTCTCCGTCTCCCTCTTCTTCCTCTGCTTTGCCTTCTTCTTCGCCTAATTCCACACGGATACTGGCTGCATCCAGGGTCTGTTTCTGCTCGCTCAGAGCGCGTCTACGCGGCGAGAACGTGGCTAATGCCACAGGCGGCGCGTCAGCGAAGGCGTCTGGAGAGTGATGAACCGCTCGGGGCGACATGTGACGCGCTGAGGCGCCTCTAGCTTCCCCCGCGTTGATGGATCGCATGGCAACGCTGTGTGCGACGTTTCTCGGACTACGCGCGGCTGCAGAGAGCGGGGAAAGCACCGCTTCAGTCAGCGAGCGCTCGTAGTTGCGCAAGACGTCGCGTGCGTCCGCAGACTCGCGTCTAGATGGTGAAACGACGTCGGATGCGGCAGTCTCGGGGGGCGAAGCGGACATACTCTCAGTCCGGTCTTTACGTCGGCTGTAGCTTGCTTTTCTGCTGGCTGAAGCTCCTAACAGACGCTGCGCTTGACGGCGGATACGATGAAAATGCTCGCGGGGCCGGGGACTGCCTGTAGCTGCTGGTAGATCGCTCTGTGGGGACGGCGACGACTGGGGCTTCTCTTCCGCAGTCTTCTCGTTTTCTGTATGGGACTCTGACAAGAAGGCGAAGCCTGACTTGTTTGAATACAGAGACTAAGTCAAGTTTTGGGGATGGGTGACGGACTTGTGATTGGCTGAAAAAGCGCGATTGGGCATAAAAGTGCGAACCGCAGTTGGACAACTTTCACACTTCAAGTGTATCTTTCGCCCTCGGACGCATACCACATCTAAACTTCCACGTATAATCCTTGCAAATCGAGTTGCAATTCGAGACTAAGGAGCATAATTGCATATGAGGAGCTTCAGCAACGCTGATTCAGCAAGCTGGAGATCGAAGACCAGTTCTTAGCAGTGGCGCGTTATAACGATCAGCCAAACGTACGTCTCGTTTGAGATCAGCAAATATGCAGATATCATGGCCGTATGGCGGTGGAGCACGATCGTTTGCTTGAGGAGAGTCTTAGGACGAGAAATATCTGGAATAAGTCAGTGACGCTGCATCGCTTTTTGTGAAGCGAACGTGTTTGATTCAGAGGTGTTGCACGTTAATAGATAAATCAGAAAACGAGCAAAAAATATAATTTTGCCAGTTTTTTTTTAGTAAGGAGCATGAAACTGAAACTAACAACTAAAATGAGCTGTTGCGTTCACTTTTATTATTAACTCCCAGGTCTGCGCTAACTGTAAACGGTAGGCTTGCATAGCAAATGTCCGTCAGGATATCCTTTGCCGGTGCGTCGGACTGACTGTGATGCCTTGGGATTGCACACATTAATTATTGGCAAGAATATGTTCTGCGTTACAGCTGTAACTAAATAATTTGTTGATAACTTACCCAACTATCGGATAACCTGAAAATTTGATTTTCTTATTTAGCACCAAGCAACCATACAGCAACTTGCTGACAACAAATAATCAGCAAAAGATAACTGAGCTCTTGCGTGCATTTTTTTTAGTAATATAAATTTGTTATGCTAGTGGTTGTTCTTCGCGTCTCTCCTCCACATTAGCCAGCCAGCTTATCCACGAGTGCCTGTGCAGCTGTCGCTTGAGTTCTCGACCATTGTGCCAGAGTTTGAGACGCCTCAGCTCGAGCACGAGCACTTTCGGCTTGAGCTCGCGCTGCCTCCACGAGAGCTTGAGCAGCCTCTGCTTGTGCTAGAACCACTTGCGCTTCAGCTTCCGCTGCCTCCGCTTGAGCTTTAGCCGTTTCGGCCATAGTTCGCGTTGCCTCCAGTGGAGTTGCAGATCCTAGAGGGTTCGTCGCCATCGTTTTCAAGCTAATCGTTGCGGTTGCTGTCAAATTCAAAAGTGACCTTGACGCTGCTGCTTCATCATTTCTTAACGCCTCGTCGCTCTTAATAATGGGCGCGATAGGATGTGACACTCGTTATAATGGGAGCCAACGATTTCCAAATAAATCAAATAGTTGCCAGAAAACTGACTTGTCCTACTATTTTTTTTTATTTTTTTAGACTTTTTATTCTTAACTCCTACTTTAGTATTGTTGTGATAAACGCTGAATGAGCACTTTGAAATGCCCAATCGACCTCGGAAGGAATCCATACAAGATGTGGCAGCCAGGAAAGACCCACCTACTGGGCGTGCAGGTGCTAGAGGGTCTATTGTTGCACCCAAGTTCACTTCGATGCAGCTTGCAGAACTTTTGAGACCTTTCTGGCTGGAACTCTTACAAGACAATGTCAAGAACGTCAAGAAATTTCTTCGCGACAACCGCTCAAGAATTGATTTTAGCACTGCACGATACACTGCTTGTGCCGATGGCACGGGGCTGCATCTGTGTGCACAACACGGATTTATGGGCTGTGCAAAACTTCTACTTGAGTTCGGGGTGAAGATCGATCTTCCGAATAAAGTGGGGTCTACGGCTCTACACGTGGCCTGTAAGTTCAACCAGGAGGAAATGGTGCTGTTCCTGTTACAAGCAGGTGCCCGGCTTGATGTACCTGACCTTGTACGTGCACAAAGTTAACAACACATTGAGTAGGTTTTGATAATTGACACTTTCACTATATTTTAGCGCAACAACGTTGCATTTGATGTTGCGCCGTACACGCTGCTCGACAAGTGTCTGTTGTCACCTCAGCGAACGATACTAGAAGCCGAGCAGCAAGAAGAGGCTCGACTGCTCGAAAAACACCAAGCTGCTTTGGATCACTTCGAGAAAGTCACACTTGCCAAAGCCCACGCATCAATGTTGCTTAGCGATTGCGAAAGCCATGCGTGGGAACAATGGCAAGCGCTCCAAGCAGCGAACAAAATCGATCGTGAGTGGAGTGAGCAGGTTCAGAGATCTCGGGATACGTTGGAGGTTAAACAAGCAACGTATACGGATCTTCAAGTCCAGCTTCAAAACGAGGAGGACCAAATCGTACAGACGTGGAAAAACGTATTCCGTGAGGCGAGAGACCGTCGGGAACGTGCTCGCGAAGAGATGGAGCAAATGCTCATGTTAACCGAGGAAACGCACCAGCGCTGGATGCGAGAGCAGCAAGAACTATGGGATCAATGTGGACTGATTGAAACAGCGCAAGAATTTCCCAACGACGCAGACGTACAGCAGTGGGTTCTGTGTACCATTTTTGCCATGATCGATGAAAGCGTTCCCGTAAGTTTTCACCAAGAAATGGATATCGACCGACAATTAGTGCGCGAGGAGATCATTTTAGTGATTCGGAATGTTTTATCACGCTTTCCGAAGATGCGAGATCTTCAAGTTAGCGCTCTTCAATGCTTAGTGCGACTTGTTGGCCACTGTATCGAACCTCCCATGACGGCCAGAGCCTTTGACTTTTTGACGTCTCTTATTAAAGCCAACGTCTTGGCACTCAGTCGAGACGTATTTATTCGCTTCCAGCAAGACTTGGAGATTGCTCACTTGGTGGTCGAGTTGCTCTACCATTTACTGCAGTTTCGAGGTGAGAATGGGGCAAATAACTTGCAATTTTGCCAGAACCGCGCCAGTCATCAACTCCCGCTGCAGGTTCTGCGTCTCCACGAAATCGTGTATCCATTACGAGGTGATGCAGATTCATCATCTGTTCTACCTGCACGGCATCACGTTTCATTTCTTCTATTCACACTCATCAAGTACAACGTCAGGAAAACTGTGGATGAGAAAGACGTTCTCCCTTTAGTTCGCCGCCTTATCTCAGCATTGAGTAAGAGCTCTTCAAACGGTGATTCTACGTCTGATGAAGCCATAGCGTCAGCACTCCGATACTTAGTGGGAAGCCTAGCGCTGATACAGAGCTCGTCTGTTCGAACCAGTACCATCAAGACAAGCCCTCGGTCGATTGTTCCACCTCCTTGGACAGTAGACGATTTGAGCCAAATATTCGATGCAATTCGGCCTTGGCTTTTAAAGCGTTCTATTGACAGCGAACCATTGACAAGTGCACATCGCAGTCTTGTCTTCTGGATGGTAAAGCTGCTTCGAAACCTTACGCAACCACAGGATGATGAAGTAGTGCAGCTTCGCTCGTGGCTTCGAACTCGTGGAACTTTCGATCTTCTTGCAAATACAATACTTGCTATTCGAAAGCAGAGACCGGTGGAAGATGATACTGCAGTGCACAACATCGTGGTGGTCTGGCTTGAACTTGTGGAAGATATCTGGCTATGCAGATACAACAGCGACGGCCAACTTGCGGCCACGGCTGCATTTATCTTGGACTCTCTTGTGCAGCTTCTAGAACTCGAAGCCCAGCTGGTTGAACAGCATGACCGCACCTCGTTCGTCAACGTCACTGCTGTATTCAAGGTTTTCGTTCTTGTGTTATCTAATGGTAGATCTTCCAATTCCTTCAGAGATCATCTTCACGAATAACTAACATTCTTCGTATCATTTGTAGGCAAAAACATGCACTATCTTGCTGATCACGAGTACAAGATCGACGTCGCAGTGCACGACATCCTGAAGAAGCTTCTCGACATTAACCAGAAATCTCAAAACAACGAATCTTTACACGAAGCGTGCACATCCGAGCTGCTTGTTCACATACTGCGGGTCTACCTTCGTTTCTTCGACTACGAGCGAGACCACGTTAAGTCTGAGATTAACCAGCACGAGCGATGCAGAGCCATCGGACTCTGCACCACATTACAAGCTTTCGAATCATCTACTACCACTCCATCGTGCTCGCTCAACGTTAACCAGAGCGACGATCAGGCCGTAAAGACACCACAACACTCAAAGCTCAAGTCGAAAATGAAGATCGCTCGAGCGTGGTCAGTGCAACAGACACAAGATCCTCAACGAGAAACTCTACGCTCTTTGGCTCGAGCTCTGCTTCGACACGCACCATGCAATTGCTAGTAATTCGTTAGGGCACTTTAACCGTCACACGTAAAGAGTCACTCTTCAATCGTTTAGATCTAAGCACAACTACCTCTTCATCCTCATGAGCCGTCCCGGAACGAGTTCTGGCCAACGCCCTGGCACGGGTCAACGCCCCGGCACCGGCGGTGGTGGCCTTGCACCCGTATCGGGTCGGCCTGGAACGGGTCAGGGTCTCAACCCCATTACGGGAGCTCGACCTGGAACGGGGCAGCGTGGAATGCTCACCTCTGCTTCGGGTGGTCGACCTCTTACTGGTAGACTTGGAACGGGGCAGCAAGTACCCGCGACACCAGGCCAAACCGCTGGATACGGCATCAGTCTCAATACGGAGGTGAACGTGTCCGATAGACCCGTGACTCAACAGGGTATGATGGGAATGCGTGTTGGCACTGCCGGACCTGGTCGACAGGTCCAAGACGCGTCGTTCTTTAAAGGAAAGCTACATAGTAAGACAGCAGAGATCACGAGTGAGATCGAGAAGCTACAGCGAGAAATTGAGCAGGACGCTAAGGATAAGGCGCAATGTGCTCAACTGGAGCGTAAATACGAGACTATGGCGCTCGAAGTGCGCGACTTGGAAGGCCAATTGGCCGACTATAACTTGGCAATGGACAAGATGCGCAGCGCCACGGACCCGGCCGAGATCCGCCAGGTGCAGGAGCAATTGCATCAACGCAATGCTAAAGAAGCGGAAGACGTGGATCGGGTCTTCTTGATGAATAAAGAACAGGAGAAGAGTGTGCGTACGATGGAGACTGAGATGACGGAGATCCACGGCAAACATCAGGACAAGAT